TCGGACGAAACTATATATGAGAACTATATCTAAATCTGAACCGATTCCACAAAACTTCGCACACATCAAACTGGACTTAATCTAGTACGCTGTGCAAAATTTGTTCTCAATCGGACAAACTTTGCGAGTTTGGTGCACAATTTGCCTAAAATCGGACGAAACTATATATGGGAGCTATATCTAAATCTGAACCGATTTTCACAAAACTTCGCATACATCAATCAGGACCTAACTCAGTACGCTGTGCAAAATTGTTTTTCAATCGGAAAAATATTGAACGTTTGGTGCAAGGTTTACCTAAAATCGGACGGAACTATATATGGGGCTATATCTAAATCTCAAATCCGATTTCCACAAAACGTCGCACACATCTAACTCAGTACGCTGTGCAAAATTGTTTTTCAATCGGAAAAATATTGAACGTTTGGTGCAAGGTTTACCTAAAATCGGACGGAACTATATATGGGGCTATATCTAAATCTGATTCCCACAAATCTTCGATTTCCACAAAACGTCGCATACGTCAATCAGGACCTAATTCAGTACGCTGTGCAAAATTTTTTTTCAATTGGAAAAATATTGAAAGTTTGGTGCAAGGTTTACCTAAAATCGGACGAAACTATATATGGGAGCTATATCTAAATCTGAACTGATTTTCTTCAATTCAATAGGCTTCGTCCTTGGGTCAAACAAAATGGCTGTGCCAAATTTCATCCAAATCGGATCATAAATGCGACCTGTACTTTGCTCACAAAAATAAATGGACGGACGGACAGATGGACATGTATAAATCGACTCAGAAAGTGATTCTATGCATATTCTCAAAAAGAACCATGTGTCTATCTCGATTCCTTTTGCCTGTTACAAACAAAATCCACGCCTTGGAAGACCATGAAAAAATATTCTTTAAAAAATCCACGCCTTGAAGGACCATGAAAAAATATTCTTTAAAAAATCCACGCCTTGAAGGACCATGAAAAAATATTCTTTAAAAAATCCACGCCTTGAAGGACCATGAAAAAATATTCTTTAAAAAATCCACCACGCCTTGAAGGACCATGAAAAAATATTCTTTAAAAAATCCACCACGCCTTGAAGGACCATGAAAAAATATTCTTTAAAAAATCCACCACGCCTTGAAGGACCATGAAAAAATATTCTTTAAAAAATCCACGCCTTGAAGGACCATGAAAAAATATTCTTTAAAAAATCCACGCCTTGAAGGACCATGAAAAAATATTCTTTAAAAAAACCACGCCTTGAAGGACCATGAAAAAATATTCTTTAAAAAATCTACGCCTCTGGGGAACCATAAAAAATATATTTTTAAAAAATCCACGCCTTGAAGGACCATGAAAAAATATTCTTTAAAAAATCCAACACGCCTTGAAGGACCATGAAAAAATATTCTTTAAAAAATCGACGCCTTGAAGGACCATGAAAAAATATTCTTTAAAAAATCCACGCCTTGAAGGACCCTGAAAAAATATTCATTAAAAAATCCAAGCCTTGAAGGACCCTGAAAAAATATTCTTTAAAACATCCAAGCCTTGAAGGACCCTGAAAAAATATTCTTTAAAAAATCCACGCCTTGAAGGACCATGAAAAAATATTCTTTAAAAAATCCACGCCTTGAAGGACCATGAAAAAATATTCTTTAATAAAAATCCACCATGCCTTGGAAGACCCTGAAAAAATATTCTTTAAAAAATCCACCACGCCTTGAAGGACCATGAAAAAATATTCTTTAGAAATCCTCGCCTTGAAGGACCCTGAAAAAATATTCTTTAAAAAATCCAAGCCTTGAAGGACCCTAAAAAAATATTCTTTAAAAAATCCAAGCCTTGAAGGACCATGAAAAAATATTCTTTAAAAAATCCACGCCTTGAAGGACCATGAAAAAATATTCTTTAAAAAATCAACGCCTCGGAAGACCCTGAAAAAATATTCCTTAAAAAAATCCACGCCTTGAAGGACCATGAAAAAATATTCTTTAAAAAATCCACGCCTTGAAGGACCATGAGAAAGTATTCTCTAAAAAATCTACGCCTCTGGGGAACCATAAAAAATATATATATATATATATATATATATCCACGCCTCTAGTGGACCTTAAAAAATATTTTTTTAAAAAAATCACGGACCTTAAGAAATATTTTTTACATGCCTTTGATGGGCCTTGAAAAAATACCTGTGGATTTTTCTGCTATAATACCTAATACCTGTGTGCTGTGCTATAACCATGAAAAAAATATAATAGTAAACCCCAGACCACTGTGCGGTTCTTGAACCTGAACGAATAATAAACAATTTTGTTAAATATGATGGTCTTGTAATATTTTGAAATATTATTATGCGTAATAAAATAAGTATGAAAATTAAAAGATTTACAAATTGATTTGTGGTTGGATAGATAATGGGGTCATAGCAGACACATCATGGACCCCACACATGCATATACGCACACACACACACACACACACACTTGTCGACACAATTGCAGCTCAGTTGAATAACTGAACTTGATCACAACTGTAGACGTTAGTTTGGGGGAGTGGCATAGTGGTTTCAAATTCCAAGAAACTGTTAATAATTTTTGACAGTATCGGGTAAATGTAGAAAATGTAAAAAATTGTCGTAAACGTCATAAACTAGTATAATAAGTATAAAACATGTTAATATTTTTAAAAATGTATCGAAATTTGTTATGGGTTCAAATTTGTGGAAATTTGAATGTATAATCGAAAATGTAAAAAATGTCGTAAAAGTCGTAAAAGTGTCTAAAATGTATAAAATTCAGAGCAATCCATAAAACTGTACAAGGAATGACTGCAGAATTAAAATTACAATGTTTTACGATGATAGTGGAAAATGTAAAAAATATCGTAAACGACACGAAATTGTCGAAAACGTAAAAAATGTTTTTTAATTACCAAAAAAGTACAAAAAATTACAGTATAATAAAAATGTATTTTAATTAGTAAAAAAGTACAAAAAAATTAATGTATAATAAAAATTACAATATTTTACTATGATTGACGAAAATGTAAAAATGTCGTAAACGTCATAAACCTGTCTAAGAAGTATAAAATTCATGACAAATAATAAATATTTAAAATTATGATATTTTTCGATAATTTTCGAAAGTGTAAATTATGTCGTAAAAATATAAAATTGTATAAAAAGTACAAAATGCGTTCAATATTAAAATTTGTTTCAAAAATGGCTGAAGAATAAAAATTACAATATTATCCTTTCATAAGGGGAAATGTAAAAAATGTCGTAAACCTGTCTAAAAAGTTTAAAATCCATAGCAATAAATAAAAACATTCCAAGAATGGCTGCAGAATTAAAATTACAAAATTTTATGATGATAGCGAAAGATGTAAAAAATGTCGTAAACGTCATAAACCTGTCTAAAAAGTATAAAATTCACATAAATTAATTAAAATGTACCATGAATGAATATAGCATTAAAAATAAGATATTTTTCGATGATTGTTGATCATGTAAAATTTGTCGTAAATGTCATAAACCTGTCTAAAAAGTATAACATTCATAGCAAATAATACAAATGTACCAAGAATGGCTGCAGAATAAAACGTAAATGTCATAAACTTGTCTAAAAAGTATAACATTCATAGCAAATAATACAAATGTACCAAGAATGGCTGCAGAATAAAAATTACAATACTTTTCAATCATAAGCGTTATTGTAAAAGTGTCGTAAACGTCGTAAACCTGTCTAAAAAGTTCAAAATTCATAGCAATAAATAAAAACATTCCAAGAATGGCTGCAGAATTAAGGCGATAGCGAAAAATGTAAAAAAATGTCGTAAACGTCATAAACCTGTCTAAAAAGTATAAAACCCATAGCAATTAATACAAATCTAGCAAAATGTCTGTAGAATTAAAATTATGATATTTTGCGATGATTGTCGAAAATGTAAAAAATGTCGTAAATGTCATATAATCATCCAAATAGTATAAAATGTATTAAAATTAGTAAAAATGTACCAAAAGTGGTTGTATAATATTTTATGATAATATTTGTTAATGTAAAAAAATGTTGTAAACGTCATAAAAATGTAAAATATGTCGTAAAAGTCAGTTAAATGCATAAACAAAAGTTCATAAAAATGTACCAAAAATGGTTGTACAATTAAAATTACATTATTTTTCTGTAAAAAGCGAAAATATAAAAAATGTGGTAAACGTCATATTATTGTCTAAAAATTATAACATCTGTTAAAATTACTAAACTTGTAACAAAAATGGTTGTAGAATTAATATGAAGATAATTTAAGATGATTGTCGAAAATGTAAAATATGTCGTAAAGGTATTAAAAGTATAAAATTCAGGTTTAGAATCAAAATTATGACATTCTTGAATTGTATACATATATACATGACAGTATCACTAGAGGTAGAGGTATAATAATTTTGGGTATGCCAAAAAAATTACAAAAAAATCTCTGGTACCACTGTGGTTTCCATGGTTGGATGGATGAATGACTATCGAGAGTATGAGAATCGCTTTGTTGTTGTTTTTGTTGGTTAAATAAGTATCATTAAATGAGTATTAATGAAATTGTGTTTGTTGTTGTTGTGTTTTATAAAGCAATTTGAATGCACGACTTTTGCAGCCGGGTAAGTAAAATAGGCTGTGAAAACAAATTCATATGAAATGGGGTTAGGAATGGAGATTCATTGGTTGGTAAATGGTAGATTTGTGGTTTAGATGACACTTGAAGTGATCTTGAAATGTGAAGTGAAATTGTGATTGTGCGTGCAATTTGTTGTGTGGGCAACACAGCATGTGTCGGGTCCCAAGTACCAAAGAAGAGTGGCAGTGGAGGTGTGTGAAAATTGAAGTGTGAAGTGTGTGAAGAGAAACAAACCCACACCATAGCTATAGGTTATGTTTTTTTGGAAATTTTTTGAGAATAAATCGTTTAGACCCCTTGCAATCAAATTTAATTAGTACATAACTGACTTACGCATTTAACAACTCATTTTGGGCCTTACTGCCACCCAGCGACCAAACTTCACTCTTTTTCTGTCGGGTCGAATAGGAAATTCGTTTATTTGTTGAATCGAAACGTCCCTTGGTATGACCTTTGCGACCGCCACCTGGTATCCATAATAGACGCATACCAGAATTTTTACTGTTACGTGATGCCATCACAACTAGAGTTTTTTTTTAAGAATTTCAATTGAAAAAATAAAAAAATGAGAAAAAAATTGGGGAAAAATTAAAAATTTTCAAAAACCAAAATTTTGATATAAAAAGATAAACTGGAATGTGTGATATTATGTAGAGGGAGGGAGTAGTTTGTGCTAAAATTGAGATAGTGTTCAGCTGACTATTTTGGGATTATTTGTGGGAAATTATAATTGGTTAATAGATGGCGATAGATATCAAAATATTAGCCTTTTGAGTGAACCTCAGCTCCTCATTTTTTCTAGCAAAGTATGGATATACAAAGATCGAGAACCCAAAATCTCGAATTAGATCCAATTCGGTTGAAAAAACATGTCTGAAAACCTCAAAGTTCGGAATATTCGAGAATATCGTTGCAAGGGAGCTATACCAAAACGTGGACCGATATTGATAATTTTTAGTAGGAAAATTTTTAATCCGATGCGAACCAAAAATATCAAATTAAAGTCAATTCGAATAAAAAACGTGCCCAAAATAACGAAAATTAGGAGGAACGTACATGGGGGCTATAGCGAAATGTGGATCTATATTGATAATTTTTTGTAAGAAGATTTGCCACCCAATGAGAACCCAACATCTCGAATTAGAACCAATTCGTTTGAAACGTGTGTGAAAACCTCGAATTTCAGAATATCATTACAAGGGACCTACACCAAAAAATTGTCCGATATTGATAATTTTGGGTAGGAAGATTTTTAGTCCGATGCGAACCCAAAATATGAAATTAGAGCCAATTCGGATGAAAATCGTGCCCAAAATAACGAAAATTGAGAGGACCGTTATATGGGGGCTATACCGAAATATGGATCGATATTGATAATTTTTTGTTGGAAAATTTGCCACCTAATGATAACCGAAAATCTCCAATAATAGCCAATTAGGTTGAAAGCCATGTTTGAAAACCTCAAAGTTCGGAAGTTTCGGGGATACCATTACAAGGGAGCTATACCAAAACCTGAACCGATATTGATAATTTTTGGTGGGAGGATTTTTTAATCGAGGAGAACCCAAAATATAAAATTAGAGCCAATTCGGATGAAAACCCTGAAGAAAATAACGAATATTAGAAGGACCGTTATATGGCGGCTATACCGAAATGCGGTTCGATATTGAAAATTTTCGGCTGGGGGTTTTTTCACCCTACGAGAACCCAAAATCTCGAATAAGAGCAAACGCGGTTGAAAAACATGCGAGAGACCCTCAAGGTTCGGATTATTCGGGGATACCGTTAAAAGTGAGCTATGCCAAAACGTGGACCAAAATGGATCAATGTTGGTAAGAAGATTTTTAATCCGATGCGAACCCCAAATATGAAATTAGAGCCAATTCGGATGAAAACCGTGCTCAAAATACCGAAAATTAGGTAGACCGATATATGGGGGCTATACCGAAATGTGGATCGATATTGATAATCTTTTGTAGGAAGATTTGCACCCAATGAGAACCCAATATCTCGAATTAGAACCAATTCGGTTAAAAACGTGTGTGAAAACCTCAAATTTCGTAATATTCGGGAATATCGTTACAAAGGACCTATACCAAAAAATTGACCGATATTGATAATTTTTTGGTAGGAAGATTTTTAATCCGATGCGAACCCAAAATATGAAAATAGAGCCAATTCGGTTAAGAATCGTGCACAAAATAATGAAAATTGGGAGGACCGTTATATGGGGGTTATACCGAATTATGGATCGATATTGATATTTTTTTTTTTTTTGTTGAGAAGATTTGCCACCCAAAGAGAACCCAAAATCTCGAATAAGAGCCAATTCTGTTGAAAAACATGCGAGGAGAACCAAAATACAAAATTAGAGCCAATTCGGATGAAAAACGTGCCCAAAATAACGAAAATTAGGAGGACCGAAATGTGGATCGATATTGGTAATTTTTTGTTGGAAAATTTGCCACCCAATGGGAACCCAAATTTTCCGGTAATAGCCAATTCGATTGAAAGAAGTGTGTGAAAACCCCAAATGTTCGGAAGATTCGGGGATACCATTACAAGGGAGCTATAACAAAACGTTGACCGATATAGATAATTTTTGGTAGGAAGATTTTTAACTCGAGGAGAATCCAAAATATAAAATTAGAGCCAAATTGGGATGAAAACGTGCCCAAAAAACGAAAATTAGGAGGACCGTTATATGGCGGCTATACCGAAATGTGGTTCGATATTGATCATTTTTGGCTGGAGGTTTTTTCACCCTACGAGAACCCAAAATCTCGAATAAAAGCAAACGCGGTTGAAAAACATGCGAGAAAACCTCAAAACGTGGACCAAAATTAATAATTTTTGGAAGGAACATTCTTAATCCGATGCTAACCCAAAATATGAAATTAGAACCAATTCGGTTGGAAAACGCGCCCAAAATAACGAAAATTAGGAGGACCGTTATATGGGAGCTATACCCAAATATGGATCGATATTGATAATTTTTTGTTAGAAGATTTCCTACACAATGAGAACCCTAAATATTGAATTAGAGAAAATTCGGATGAAAAACGTACCCAAAATAACGAAAATTAGGAGGACAGTTATATGGGAGCTATACCCAAATATGGATCGATATTGATAATTTCTTGTTAGAAGATTTCCCACCCAATGAGAACCCTAAATATTTAATTAGAGCAAATTCAGATGAAAAACGTACCCAAAATAACGAAAATTAGGAGGACTGTTATATGGGGGCTATAGCAAAACATGGACCAATATGGATAATTTTTAGTAAGAAGATGTTCTACCTAATGAGAACCCAAAATATCAAATTACAGCCAATTCGATTGAAAAATGGGCCTAAAATTTCCAAAATACCGAAAAATGCGAGGTACCCCTATATGGGGACTATACCGAAATGTAGATCGATATTGATAATTTTTTGAAGGAAGTTCCGAAAATCCTCAAAATACCGAAAAATGTAAGAAACCCCTATATGGGGCCTATACCGAAACATTGACCAACATGGAAAATTTCTTGTAGGAACATGTTCTACCTAATGAGAACCCAAAACATCAAATTACCGCCAATTATGTTAAAAATAGTGCGTGAAATCCCCAAAATACCGAAAAATGTGAGGTACACTTATATGGGGGCTATACCAAAATATGGACCAATATGCATAATTTTTAGTGGGAAGGAAAAAAAATAAAATCTGGACCTCTATTAATAATTTTTAGTATGATGATTTCCCCATATGTGTCTTAAATATCAAATTAGTGTTAATTCGGTCGATAAATTTGCTTGATAACTTCGAAATACCGAAAATGAAGCGGATCCGTTATGTAGGGCCTTTCTCAAAACACGGACCATTATTATTCATTTTTGGTAGTCAGATTTCCTATTCATCATAGTTGAAAACCAGAAAATACCCACTTTTTGGAAGTGTCATATATTGGACCATATAATTTTATTCAGATCCCTGGTCTCCGACAAATATTTTGAGATGTTGCCAACGGAGTAACACATTTCACATACACTCCATCTTAAGATGGAGGTTATATAAAAGAGACCAAATAGAAAAACCCAAAGTCTTGGGATAGGTGACAACCATAATGAATTCCATACGACGATGTCATTGTGGTTTGTTCCCATACCAACAGCAGCAGCAGTTCCTGCTGGTTTTCGCCTCCTTTCTCTCGTTTTTGGATATTCAACATAAACGTGACATTAATCAGGAACACGATTTACGACTTACGACCATACCGACCTGGTGTGTGTGTGAGTGTGTTTGTGGCCTTTTTGTCACCAAATACGAAAAAAACCACTGACTAACCAAAAAAGGCGAACGCGAAACGAGTTTAAATAAAAGAAAAAAATTTGGCCAATGCGACAATCAGATACAACGTCTTCGAGGACCTACCTATAAACTGACAATTGTCGTTAGTCTGCCACCACTACCTCGCCCCAGAAAAAGCCCAAGTTTCGGAATGCTGTTATCATTCGTTGCAGTCGCCTATCATCTCTCTCAGCCGATCTGGCTGGGTGTGTGTGTGTGAGTGTTGTTGTATTTGTATTTGTTCTGTTTATTTATGTTGCAACATCATTTTGTCCGACCCAGGGAAATAAAGCAAAAATAATTGACTTGACGACGACTGAGTTGAAGACGGAGAACGACAACTCCACTCCCAGGTACCATTAAAACAATGGACTCCTTGTTTTTAGTTTTTTTTTCGTTTTGTTCACTGGGTGTCCAAACTTTAGTACACCAGGTTATCCTTATGGTTAATGGGATTCTACATATTTATGTTCGTCTGGGTCTTGAATATATAGAATATCACATTGAAAACATATATCGAAGTCCCATCGATAGCAAACCTTGTTGAGTGTTTTATGAGGTCGCATATACAATTTTCCACAATATACTTGAAGGCTTTTATATGTATGGAAACCCTCTTTGTGGTCCTCCATACATATAGACGTGTGGCTAGACGTCCCGCATAAATATTAGACATTTTGAGGGCTTCACAGAGGTCTTATATATAGGGTCTTTCAGAGGTCTCAAAATGATAGAATATATTTTGAGGTCAAAGGTCTTATATTGAGAGCCGGAGGTCTTTTATACAAAGGCCTTTTGAATTTCTTAAGTATATAGAATAATTTCTCCTATACAAATTCATATAGACTTCTACCATAGATATTTTTCATTATTTAAATGATTTTCTAGGACTTATGTGTAGGTGCCTTTCAGAGAATATCTTCTTGAAAATTTACTCTTCAGAAGGTCTTTATGAGGTCCTCAATAGACATTCTTTCAATAAAATAACTTCAAAAGATCTACTATAGATAGAATGTCTTCTAGAGGTTCTCTTTTAATTTGCTATATAAGTTTTCTTCTGGGATATAATACCTAGAAGTCCTTCTAGGGGTTCTAGAGGTCCTTCAAATGGTTCTATAGGTCCTTCAAGGACCTTCAAGGAATTATATAAGTGCTTGAAGGAGATCTAAATGTTCTTCTAGGCGTTCTTG